GGGGGGGGGGGGGGGGGGGGGAGCCGAGGGGGGGTGTTGATCACGGGGTGTGAAACGTAACACGCATCATGTTCGGGACTCAGCAGCACGGGCGGTGCCAGGCACAGCGGGTGCTGCGGGAGTCTCAGCGGGGGGGTGTACTCATAGTAGTCCATGCCGTAGTCGGTAGGCTATTGACCTCGCATCCCTACAAAGCCGAGATGGAGCACGCCGGGTTCTCACCGGAGCAGGTTCTCACATCACCGAGCGCGAAGCGCCGTGAGATATTCGGCGAGTCGCATGAAGGGTGCGCTGCATCCTGCCAAGCNGGGGGGGGGGGGTGTACTCATAGTCGTGCATGCCGTAGTCGTTAGACCATTGACCTCGCATCCCTACAAAGCCGAGATGGAGCACGCCGGGTTCTCACCGGAGCAGGTTCTCACATCACCGAGCGCGAAGCGCCGTGAGATATTCGGCGAGTCGCATGAAGGGTGCGCTGCATCCTGCTAAGCGTGTTCGGCATCTTGTGCTTACTTCCTTGCTACGGATGACAGCTGTATGACTTAATTTATTTTCTGGTGTTACTTCCAGAGACAGTTGTAAGCACTGTGAAACTGCCTCGAGGGTGCTTGACCATTTCAACACAACGTGGTGCGATCACCCCCCTTGCGCGGAGCGAGGGTTCTCCACCCAGCACAACATGATCTACTCGATCACCGTTATGGAAGCCGCCAAAAAAAATAGAGGTAATAACAACACTGTAACCTGGTTGCCGAGCTCACGAAGTGAATTGGCTTGTTTTACAACGTCGTTGCCAAGCGACGAAAACCCAACACCGATGGCAAATACCGTGGGGGAGGGCACAGAAAAAATGACGATAAAACACATTGGGCGTGGCGCCGCCGCTTGAGTCTGACTCGTTGTGTGCTTCGTTCATCTCCGCGGTGTTGTCGGTCGCCCTGTAGCTCTAGCGGGTTACGGGCGATTTTGACGTGATCTCGGCCTACCCCACCGGTGTGAAAGGCTACGTTGATACATTTTTACGGCTCAACATAAGTATCTTTTATGATCTACGGGTATTTACCATCAAGACATCAGTAATATTTTACTTTCCCGGCACATGTACTAAAGGGCTTCAACAACCGTGAACGCAGTCCTTCTTGCGCCACCCCTAACCGCGTGAACAACCAGATGATGCGATCATCAACCTCGTGCCGCAACGCCTTCACTTTTCTCCCTTCTGTGAAAAAACCGCCGTACAAAAATCAGGCATGCAGAATATCAGAGTATCCTACCTTCCCATTCAACGGCAGAGTATTCAGAAAAGGGCTATAAGCTTGAAACAACAGCCCATCCTGCGCCGCCCCCGCTTTGTTGTGACCAAATTTGATAACCTCCTACTTCTACCCAACGTTAAAATTCGCCACCCTCAACCGCGTGGACAACCAGATCAACAGCGCATCACCCGCCTGCTGCAAAGCCTTCACCTTTTGTCCCATCCAAATAAGGCATCGCCGTTCAAACTTCACACGTACAGAATATCAAAAGTACTCTTCTTCCCATTCAACGGCGGCATATACAGTAAAAACGTGAACACAACCAAATACATCACCCACCCGCTGTCCATCAATACTATCTACTGTAAACGCAGTCCTTCTTGCACCACTGCGTGAACAACCAGATCAGCACATCGCGTGCCTGATGCAAAGCCTTTACCGTTCCCCCCTTCTTATGGGCAACGCCGTACGAACCTCGCTAGACCAGAATACTCTATTTCCATTCAACAGCATAGTATGCAGGAAATGATTCTTGAAAAAAACAAGCCATCCTGTGCCGCCGCCCCTCTTTATTGTGACCAAATTTGATCACCTACTTCTACCCAACGTTAATTTACCAGCCGTTCACTAGGAGAGATAACACAAATGCCCTACACCGCCAAATGTCTGGGCCCTTGTTCCTGCGGTTGCTCATCACGTCTGTCTGTAGAAACGTGAACACAACCAAATACATCACCCACCCTCTGTCCAACAAGAATATTTGCAGTTCTCATTAAAATCAAGGTACCCTGACACCCGTCGTCTTCGGTCATCGCACTTACAGCAATTACCCACGACAGCTTACGTCACCCACACAAAGGGCAGGTGGTAGTAAATACGCATACTCAAAGCCTATCATTGATTCAAGAGCAGTGACTTGAAAAAGCAAAATCGAGTCCCAACTCACCACCTAGGAATCGCCAAGGAGACGCCTAGCAACAAGGATGATCACATTGTACATCGTGGAAATGAATAGGTCTAGTTCCCAAATCCAAAACCGTACGCCCCCTCTTTGTTTCTCTGGTAGACATACATATGCATCATAGGTCGTGCTTACTCGATCAAGGCACCCTCTCAGCGGGCATACCCACCTCCTCGTAAAAGGTATCTACCATCACATCTGCTTTCGATGGGCACTATTCACACCTTATCCCGCCTTGGACGTACTCACGCCACACGTCTCCCCCCCACACCCTTCGTGACTTCGGAACTGCACTCGAGGTAATATCTGAACCCGTCATAACACAAACACATACCGCGGATCCCCTTTCGTAGACGTGTCTACCACCACTACTTCCGAATGGGCGCAACCGATATCCACCCCCCTTCCCTCCCACCCCTCAAGGTTCATGACCCACACGCCCTCCGCACAACTTATTTTCACAGCATAACCTTCAAACGTCACTAACAGCTTGAACAACGTCATGCAAGCCAACGGGGTACCATGAAAACAAGGGTAAAAATATTTAAGTCTTCGAATTTGAAGTAAGATACTGGAGTAAATTGTCATATCGCCATGCGATCCGGGTAGCGGTGTTCATGAGACAAGCCCACGATAACCTGTATCGATATCATGCCATGAAACACCATGCACAACGCTCCGAGTGTTCCAAAGTAACCCCAAACCCTAAGAAATGGTGCTTCCAGAGCACCCCTTGCCTTTGAATGACAGAGAAGAAGAAGCCGTCGAGCGAAGAGTGGAATTGGTACCCGAATGCCTTCCCCTCGCTCGGAAAGTATCGCTCAGAACTCTGACCCGCTGTCCTCATTGCGATCAGGCCCTCGGAATGCGAGCGAGATGGGACATCGTGCTTCCTCCGAACAGGGAACGTGGACTGTCCCTCTGCCTCCGGTTACCGACCTACGTACCGAACCCCACAGCCGCACTGCAGTCCCCGTCATCTCCATCCAACTCCCAGCCCCACTCCCACCCATCACCGCCTCCTTCATCCTCTTCCGCCTCGGGGATGCTTGCTATTTGTGGGTCAGCCAATCCACTGCCTGCCCCGTCACCGGACCCATCGCCGGCGACCCCTTCCTCGCTGCTGAGGCTTCCAATGGAAGAGGGGGCAGAAAAGCCTGCACCGTCGCCGCTCTCCGGTACCGGAGCTGCCGCAAAGATGGAGCGAACTGGGATCGGACCGATGTTCGAGTCCACCGGTCCCGTTGCTCCTGCTGCTGCTGCTACACCCGCCGGGGAGCGTGCGTGAGAAACCGAACGGTCGGCCGCACCCACCGCCTGGTCGACGGCATCAGCCACCGCGGGAGCTGAGCGCGAGAGTGCCCTGACCCGAAACCCATCGCCGGTGGCGCCCTGCAGGAGCCCTTCCAAGTGTGCGTGCGGAGAAGAAGAGTTGCGCCATCCGGTGGGAGGGTGGTCGATGGCTCCATACCGACCCCCTAGCCTCTCGAGTCCCGTGCCTGCGCCTTCTCCTCGCACGGCATCCCCACCGGCCCTCTCGCCTGCCCGGCCCCTTGCCTCAGATCCGCCTTCTCCTCCCTCTCCGCTGACCGCCTCCGCACCTCTGCCCTCTGCCGCCACTACCGCCTCTTGTACCTCGGCGCTCATCTGTCGGGGAACTGCAGCGCTGACGGCGCTCCTCCCGCCTCCGGTGCTGTCCCAGCCGCCCAGGCCGTCACCATCACCACTCCCGACGGCGGGGGCGCCCGCTGCAGATTCGCCGCCTCCACCGACATCGCCGCGGGGGCTGCTGCCGCCGCCGCCGCCGCCGCCGCCCGCAAGCAACGCGCCTCCGTGAAAGATGGGAGCCAAGGGTACGTCGGCGCTCGCGTTCACCCCCAACAGCACTGCTGCATCCGCCCGACCGGCCGCCACCGCCACCGCGCTGCCGGTGCTGGCGTGAGCCGGCGGTTGTTGTTCGTCGACGTCCCCGCTCGGAAGGGCCGCTGAAACCGCTGCTGCCGCCGTCGCTGCTGAAGCAACCGGCGTGGCGTTCGGCTGCATCGCAAGGCGCACGGCCGAAGCCACGGCGAGAATTTGAGGCGCGATTTCGGCCATGGTGGGCCTATGCGCGGGGTTGGTGGACGTGGTGGTCCGGACCAGCTTCCGAATGTTGGTCTGACGACAAGACAAACGCGGGCGTGGGCAAGATGTGGGGGGATGGTTTGTTGTCGGTATGGTTGTAGCGATGGACAAGGCGTGTGTAGATAATCCGAGCCATAAGAGGCGGACGACCTGAGAGGCAATGTACCGGTCGTATGGAACCATGGTCAGACGGTCTAGGGCAACGAAGTCGTTGT